TAGACTGGTTCTTGGGTCTTTATGTTACTCGGTCTCTCCTTATACATGCGTCGCGAAGCATTAGCTCCAGTGCTTGGTATATGTGTAAGTATATGACGCTTAGGTTGATACACAAACGCGGGCTTGCAAGGAGAAAAAGAAGAGGAGGAAAAAAAGGTATGCCGAGCTCTGCCTCGATGTAACTACGTAGTTGTTAAGGTAGTTCACTCGGCCCAGTGGAACTCCACTCAACGAAATGGCATAAAGATCATGCTGTCTTGTAACCGTACAAGAATTAGTTGATAACCTCTGTGCTCTTTTTTTGTTTACTTGTTGCGCAGAATGACAAAATCAGAGTTCTACGCATCTGTCAGCATAACGCTCTATATTAACTGTAGCCTCTCTTTCGCGTGGCTCATATAACGAAGCATAAAACTACGTGATTTGGATTAAAATATCTCTAAATCTAGTACCGATTGCTGTATTTACCAAAATCACATCTTAGTTCTTGTTTTCTAAACTGTTACATACGAGTTTTTTAAATTTCTAGAAGAGATACTTTTTATATAGTTAGATGAAATATCAGTTCTTAAGTGTGTTTCCCGTATACTCGTGTGTAAAAAGTGTCAACTTTGAACTTGAATATCTTGAACATAAGTACCGATTGCTACCTAAAAAAAAATATTACAATATCCGTTGAATTCTGAATGATAACGTACTAAAAAAAATCAAGTCTAGATGAAAATCAATTTTTTTAGTTAACTACCTTAAGATCAACTACCTGTTAGAGGACGGTTTCGTTACCTAATGCAAAGTTATTTACATTTAGTCGCTGATTAAATGAATGATAGGAAACACTACAAAAATTTGTCTTTTTTTATTTTTTTTTTATTTCTTGAATAATCCTAAAACCACTGCAATTTAAACAGCAATTGTTCAAGATTATTACTTCGTTGAAAAATTTTTCAATCCGATGAAATGATTCAACTCTTATACCTCCTTTACTCCTGTTATCAGTAGTCGGCTAGAAAGAATGACCACCTTAATTAATATAATTAAGTTTTATTACTAAAAAAAATTTTTATAAACAATTTCGAATCTTTTAAGGTAATTCTTAGGAACTTGCAATTACCTGGAAAGGTTACTTCGAAATAAGTGCACACAAAATCTAAATTGGTATGTAATATTTTAAGAAATAACAATATAGCTGTATCAAGAATTTACTTTTCCATGTGTACTTAACGCTAAAATTATTTTATATCACTTGTTCTTATAAATCATTAAATTTTGAGATTTTAAATTTGAGTTTTCGCGCCTCATAAGAATGGATATCGATGTGGTCAAACAGGTGGATAGTACAAGGTGAATACATCCCGGGTTGGATTAAACAAGTAAAAACAACTTGAGTTATTTCTTAGTAGATATCACTGCTTATGATGACTCTCCCAAATTTATTTTACCCTATGCAAGCGTGTTCATGTATTCGAGAACAACTCAACTTCTGGGGTGTTCATAGATGTACTAATCACCCAGTAGACAACGTAAAAATGTTAACTTTACTACTGGTTAGGCCTCTAAAGATGATGACTTTGTTCCAGGCTCGTCCGCACGACTTGCTTGGGTGGTAGACTGCTTGGACGTCGTATATCTCTCTTGACTAGATAACGCCAAATAATGGGTCCTAGCCAAGAGGTAGCCTGATTCTCCGAGATCATATAGGGCTCTTTATACCCTTGTCATTTTATTTTTGTAGAAAGTTTTTCAGTTTTTGGGTACACACACTCAAATGTTTACTTAGCTTACTTTGTACAAATCACTCGCACTTGGCGTTCCAATTCGAATTTTAGTGCATTAAATAATGAATAATTACTCGATGTAATAAAACAAATTATGAAATACAAAAATATCAAATGAAATAAAGGTATTATCTAATGTGCACCCTTTCAATGTTTAAACCATAGGGATATAAGAATAGAGGTCGTAAGAGAACAGCTGAAGCGTGTACAGAGTAGAGATCGCTGTATATGGGCCCCGTCTATCCTTATCTTGTCGACTTACACGACTGGCTGATACATTCAGTAAGGCATCCCCACAAAACAAGCTGGAGTGGGAGAGTCAACCTACCCAGACCTTTAATCTAAGCCCCGACTACTTCTCACAACTTGAATATAAGAACTCGTACTCTTCAGGTATGATCGACGATAGCTGCGTGGACTAACGTTTTGCTTGAGCCAAACGACCTGGCTTTCGATTCCCTTTAATTTTTTTTTTTTTTTTTTTTTTTTTTTTTTTTTTTTCCAATTAGCACAATTTATAATAAGATAATTTTTGTATGGAAAATACGGGTTTTTGTTTGTATATGAATTACTAGGTGCATGACTTATGTCATTATTAAGCATAATTTCAGCTAAGCCCACTCATAAATAACTGTTTTTATTAAAAACTGCTAATAATTGATTTCTTCTTTTCTAAACCATAGTACAATTAGTACACCTAAAATGAAATACCACGTTTATATAATTATTCATTTACATGTGTAATGTTTTAACGTCAAACCAGCTTTGCCATGTAGTTTTTTATATGGCTTTATAAGTATGTTGATATTTTTCAATTCATTTTTTTCCAAACAAACATCATCTTTTTTTTAATTTTCAAAGATCAAGACAGTTTGAGGAGTAATTTCAAAATATTAAATCATACTATAAATATCAGTATGAGTGCACTAATAGGTTGAATGATTTGATTTATTTGACACTCAACTCATTAAATAGTAAGGCTTGACTCCCTTCAATAAACATCTAATATTTTGGTTCATATTCTTCTGACCTCATCTTAACATCACTCGTACACTCGAGGGAAAATTTATTTTTACGAAACTTATTCTTGAAATAGCAACGACGCATCTTTATAATGTGTCGTGTAAAAGGTATATATACGTTTTGCATTGAGTACTCCATCTATGCGAACTGACCTAGGTACAATTGATTTGTATTGATAAATATACTGTATCATCAGGTGATAAAATGAAGTTTATGTGTTTATTGACAATTATTGCTTAAAGCAAGTGTAATTAGTATTTTGACATGTCATTCGTGAGTATCTTAGGAAATGTGGAATTGTGGAATTAATAATTAGATATGCGTTAAGTAAATTACACGACAGTTTCGTTTGGATTTAAATTTTATAGACATAAAAGTCAAAATGTGTATACGAGTTTCTTTCGTCCTGAACAACCATGGTTGGCTGGATTTCAGTCTTAGCCTTGATCTCTAACATCTGCAGATTTTCCTGCAATACCGGCTACAATACCGTGGCCATCGTAACGTAGTTGTCCATGTCAATTTAACTTCAAATGATGCCTAGCAAAGTTAGTGTTACCCTGGAAAATTTCGAGATATTTTATTGAAAATTGATAAAGTCATTTTATTTCCACAGGTTAATCTGTGTTTCCTTATGCCAGTGATGCCAAATGTGCCTGAGTTTTCGAGTGAATTAAAGACCCACGATGTTGGTTGGCATTTCTGCACGAGGGAGCCTCCTTAACTATTGGCATAATCTAGCAGAAAGATGAAACTGTTAGAGAAGCTAAGATTGTATACTCTATAAAATAAATAAAGAGCCTGTTACGTAATTTTATGGAGTTGAAAAATGAAGCTGCAAAAGTTAATCTGACGATGCAAAAATAATATGATTTATCAACGTGGTAGTGTTTATAATGATGATGGTGATAATGGCTTTATAAACGAGTACAATAACTTCCTCTTGCCATGTATGGACGCATCCACTGAACTTGGACCATCTTGCGCGTGATGGACTTTTTTCGCCTGAGTACTCTGTATTTAAGTCACTCGTAATAGCTGGGAGATGGCTAAAAAACACAGATTAACAGATTTTGATTTGCTCTTTTCGATAGTCCTTTTTGTTTTTTTTTTTAATAAATTTTTTTTTCGTGGAGAAAAATGAATCAGAAATTTAGAACATTTTTCTGATACACACAATTGTTTAATAAAATAAAATTTGTAGGAATCGGAAGAGCGATGCTAAACTATTAGCATTACGAATTTTTAGAGCGAGAGAGCAAAAAATGCTTGAGTTCAAACAAATGAGGACGTTAGCATGAGCTGCTCTCACAGCAGTAAGGTGGTAATCTATAATAGATTTGTTAGTAAAAGTTTGTCGCCCCGCGGTAGTTCAGCGCAGGTGACAACTGCACGCCTCGCTGCTGTGCGACTAGGTCATGCTAACGTTATCATTTGCTTGTAACTCACCTTTGCCTGTATTAAGCTTATGCATATCTTTTCTTAGCCACTAGCTATTGTCACTATATTATGTCAATGTACAAATTTAAAATGCCAGAGACATTTAAATTCAACTGTTCTGCGCAACGGTCAGTCAGCTCATGGCCGCTGTTGAGAACGCTTCTCTCACAGCGAACATTTGTAGTTAATTTTGTTAATAAATTTGTACATAGTAATTTGTAACGTGATGATTTGTTAACCGCTGATCCTGATTCTTACTCGTGACAATTGCCATTCCAGCATTACTTCCTGGTGCAAACGTTTTGGTAGCAGAGCGTGGTTCCGGGCCCATTTAACCGTCGGTGTAGGGTTGGGACTTGCAACGTGTGCTGACTCTAAGTTTAGCTATGACCTGTTTGGTATTGGACGTGTTGTGTGTGCATGCTCGTGAAAGACTTCACGAGTTCGAGTGCAGTGTAAGCGGCTTTCGTCACTGAATCGTCAAGCCGGGCGGTCGTTAACTCCAATACACTTCGGCTCGTTTGTCACACGCGCTTCACGGCAGTATTGAGTTTGCCATGTCGTCGGACTTGAAACCGTTTTTCAAAAAACAAGGCGATTTGTTCCAGCGGATCAACAACGCTTACCGTTCGAGTAGGTTACAGTATATATCCAATTTACGGCCAAAAAAAATCAGCTAAACAGCTTTGAACACTAATGTAACAAAAAAAATTATAGTACCGATAACTCATTATTATAAGGACCAACTTACGATGCTGGAAGACGCTTCCTGTTCTATTACGCAAATGAGAAATGTTATCGGCTTAGTAGCAGGAAAAATATAGACATTAGCTACCATAAGCATTACATGGAATTAATTAATTTTGTTTTTGCCCCTAGTCACCGAGGCCACCTCCTCGCCACTTATGTGTCGGGGTGTATTGCCGCACCCATTTATCAATCCCTTCATTGATATTGTACCTAGCATACATATCATGAGTACAATGGGAATATCTGTGGTGATACACCTTACTAGTAAAGTTGGCACTCTCTGCACCAATGGTGCATCGCGTCCACTTGACACTGTGTAGCATTTCCCTTGAGAAGATTCCGTATTTCAGAACGTCCATTCCTCGCTGGTTAAGCCAGCGCTCTCTACTGAAGCCTCGTATCCAGGCTAATTGGTAATGTTCCTGTGAAAATAGTTTTTCAAAAAATCTGCACTCACCGGGAATTAAACTCATGACTCCCAGAACGATGTTGTACAAGTGATAAGTACGCTTACCACTGAGCCAGCGCCGCTTCGTATCACATGAAATTATTGAAAGGATAAATCTAAGCTGCTACTTTTCATGGGGACTACGACTACTGGCTTTTAGCGATAAAGCAACGCATAGCCAAAATTCAAAAAAATATCATGGGAAAGCTATCCGTACTACGTGATCCATTTTTCGTAATTTTTTTACCCTCCTTTCCCTCTTCGATGACCACCCATAGTACTATATGTCAGGATTCCCTCCCTGTCTAATTTTTACGTAGGATTGCATTATTTATTATTGTTTTTTTTTTATCCTGCCACATATATAATCCGTATGATGTCAAGCGTACTATACGTATGGAAGCGAAATACTCAAAGGCACGTGAATAACCCAAAATCACCATACACAGCTCGGGAGTCTCGGGACGAAAAAAAAAAAAAAAAAAAAAAAAAGAACACACACGAGGCTCTCTTGTACAGAAGGCAGGATAGACCGTATCAGAAGAGGAGGAGGAGGAGGTGGAAAAAGAAGCGAAAGACTTACCAAGGTGACGAGCGACTGGACGGTGAGGCGCACAGGATTTCCCGCCGCTTGGATCGCTTTGACGGCCCGGTCGTGCGTGCTGTTGCGCAAGTCGACGCCGTCCACCTCGATTATCCGATCGCCGATCTGTGGGTGCCGAACAAGAATTACCAAGGATGAAAATCACGTACAAAGCCAATTCGAGGAGTGAAAATAAGTGTATGGTCAAGGGTTTATTTATTAATTATTATTATTATTATTATTTATTTTTTTTTTTCTCAAACCAATGGTATTGAATCAAACTCTCTTTTTACTACACGAAGGGGAGGGACGAGAATCACCGAGTTGATGAACTAATCGTGTCGGAAGCCATACATCACTTGAACGCGGGCGGGATGGAAGCTGCTTTTTCGATCCCACCCCGAGTGGTAGGGAATTCGTTTAGTTTGCTCTTCCATGAATCGTTATCGTTACCCACGTATTTCTACCAAAAAAAAAAAANATTTTTACGTAGGATTGCATTATTTATTATTGTTTTTTTTTTATCAGAAAGATAGAAAAAATTCATTCCGTTCATGTTTGTTTTTTACATCTTGTTAGGTCTGCATATCTACAATTCAAAGTAAACACAATTTAAAGAAAAATAAAGTAAAAAAAAAAAAGTACTCTAACACAGATATTTGTGTTACAAAAAAAGTCTTTGCATTTTAATCACAATTATTTTGCATCAGAATCATGTTCAGCTAACACATGTCTGGCATTAGTCCACTCAGAAACGTTGTAGATCACAAGGGCTATAGCATGAAAAGTTTCCTTCGACTTGACTATTTTCTCCTCGTCGACCGCCTCGACGTCCACTTTACGTTTCTTATCACTACTCTTAAGACCCCTTCTGGTCTTCTGAAAGAAATCTGCAAAAGTTGCATGCAAGATACGTCAGACACACTGCATTACCATGCACATTTTTTAGGTGGTTGTCCATGGAAATTTTTAAGGAAAATTAAAGTCCACAAATTGAGCACGTCTTTCAGGTAACATAATATTTAATACACAGACAGTATGTTTCATAAAATATTTATTTACTATGTGAAATATCTCAGCATAGAGTTATACATGGTCGCAAAATAATGAAAAAATTTCCAATCCGACTTTATCTGGATTTGGTATACGTAAAGGATTTTGTGACATCCCTTGAAATATTTGCAAAAATCCTTGGTAAAGAACACTTTTTATATCACTGTGGTATTGAGTGCAGCAGGAATTATTGGAGCATTTTTCTATTGAAAGTAAATATTGGCTCTTTCTAACATGATTTCTGTAGTAGACGTGACAAAATTTGTGCATCCTGGATGGGCTCCTCTAGGAAGCTTACATTCTGCTATCATGTTGTGGCCGCCAATAATCATCTGGAACAAAGACTCAGCCAATTTCTTATCTAGAAATTAAATATATGTATAATACACAAAATCATATATATATAATTTAAAATTTAAGTTTTTAGTAGCAGAGAAGAATATATGTCACTTCATTAAAATGTATCTGCGCGCTGAGATTTTTTAAATTCTAGATCGTTATCGACGGTTTTTCCTTGAAAATGAAGATGAAATCAGTACATTTAACAAGGACTGCTATTACTAGTTCACGCTCAATAGTGCCATCTTTTGCTCAACTTAATTGTAAACCGACTGACCTCGTGTATTCGTAAATACGAAAAACCCATTAAAATCTTACTATTTACAATGCCTAATACAGTGAGATATGACTTTTTTTAGTAAGGATTTTGATTGGGTCCTCTATTCACCGATAAAATCATCAAGGGATTGAATTTTTTATCTTTTCCTAAGGCCAGATTTTTAAAATCATCTAATTTTATTATTTCTTTAAGGTCTGTGGTTGGAGTTGTTGCTGTCGAACTGCTATGTTTCCCGCTATGGAAACTATCCATACTAATGTATAACTACATTAGGCCAGAATACATGACAGCTTTTTTCTACCCATGCAGTTTTTTTTAATAAGGATACCAGTATTTACCAACACACTTTATTACTTAGATGTATTTGAACAGAAGCCTGTACTTTAGTAGCTGTTTTTCCAATCGGTATTTTTTCCTTGTTGTCTTGAGAAATGAAAACTACTTACTCAGGCCCAAGTATAGACGGAAGTTTCTTAAGACTGTAGCAGAACCTTGAAAAAATGGTGACTGGTGTGATCTTCAACAAGCCAGGCATACTAGTCATCAAGAGTTTTATTCAGCGTCGATTAGCAGCAGATCTTCTGCGTATAGGTGTATGGCCTACGACTTAAAGAAGGCCTACTGATTTTCCTCAAGTGAAGGGCGCCCTGGCTAAGTCCCTGTAGGCGAAGATTTTATGTTGTAATCAGCGAATGTTAGGCTCAAAATGACAGTTTTTTATTCTGCCCTAAATTTTTTCGCTTCCTCTGTAAGGACTATTTAGTTCTTTAACTTGTTTCACTTCATATTTGTTTCGTGCTTCAATTTTTTAATTTTCTTCGCAATCCCTAATCTTTACTAAGTCTTACATGTAAGTTATCATGGTTGCATTTAATTTAGAATCAAGTACTAAAATTTCGGATTTTGAAACGTCCTGTTTTAGTTTCAGAGCTACTATAAATAGGATGAAAAAGGTATTATAGCAGAAGATTGATCAACGAAAGATTCATTGTTATTGCAGGCTAAAAAACGTAATTAGCATTATAATTATTTATAAAATTAAAAAGATAAAAAAGCTACTAACAAGTAGTAAATGTAGAAATATTTTTTCATGAACGCACGCACACCTATCTTATTATATTGTATAGTGATTTAGGTGGGACTTTCCGCATTTCTTTCCAAAGCCCCCAAATACCCTCCACATCTCCCCTATAAAATATGGGAAAATAAGCTTGGTTTTTCTAATTGTTGTTAACTCGGTTTTTTGCTGAGGCCTGCACAGAACTTCCCCCCCCCCCAAACTGACGCTTCACTCGATTTATTGTATCCCCTGACGAGATAACATTTATTGTTCCTATATTGACAAAAAAAATAGATCATTTTTATAGTTACAATTAATGACACAGAAATTCTTTTCAAAGAAATATATAAAGTTTATCAATAATGTAAATGGTTTGAAAATTTATTACTTTTTATGTATGTAATTAGTTTTTAATTTGTTGACTTCTTTAAAGAGGCTCAGTTGTTTTTCAGGAGATTTATTCACTCGCTGAAAAAAATAAATGTTGTACCTTAACATGCTGGAAATGTGTGGGAGAGAACCGAGCATCGTCTGCTATCAGCTGGTCTTTTCACACGGACCGAGACGTCTTTACAAAATTGCTTCTAAAATTTGTTAAATTGGAAATCATGATCTGAAACTTGGCCCAGCCTTTCTTAAGACTTCAAACTATAATACTGTGCAAAAAAAGTTTGTTTTTTGAAAATTCATAACCCACTTTTGTTGATGAAAGTTAAATCTCCTTTCACTTTTTTAGGTTATTTTTTATCACGCAAACAACATGTTTTCAAGTTTTTCTACTCGAACTATCGGAAACAAGCTGCTTCAAAGTATGTACCGTAATTTGTTCATAACATTGAATGGCTGAACTTTTGAGTACTGACAAGTTAAGCACAGTTAAATTAACCGTGATGCAGTAGGCGGACGTCTTCATGCACGGTTAGTACAACTCACTTTAACACGGTGTCTGATGCGAGCCCCCGTGCACCCGCTAACCCCACTGCCCCTTTCGGGAAAACTGACTGAATCTCCTTAAGGGTATTGAAATTATTATCATTTATTTACGTAAAAATTTGTACATCTAATGTTAAAACTTTTACATTCTGATTGAGTAGGAGTGAACGTTGTAATAAAAGTATTCATTAAGAAGTCAGTATGACTATTAGTTAAAAAATTATAGCATTCACTAAATATTTAATTATATACATTATTAGTCTTATGATCTTTAGGAATTGCAAATGATTAAATTTTTCTTTTCTTTTATCTCTAATAACAAATT